TCATAATTGTCCATCTCATACAGAAATAACCCCCACCTAACAGTACTCCAACCAGAAACGATATTAATTTAAACTGTTTTTAATACGGCCCAATTCAGTACTTTTCCCAAAGCATCAGAACAATTTTTCTACTTTACATTTAAGAATATAACTTATTTTGATTCACAAGTTTTGTGATTGATTTATCTTTCCATAATCCTCACCAGGATCCTCCCCCTGCAGCATGGACAACATCACTCTTAATATGGAAATTCTACAGCTGGAGGGCTTAAATATCAGCCCCGACTCTTCTGTTCCTGCCTTTATCCTCCTCCTCCTCCTCATCTACATCTTCATCATGGTGACCAACATCTGTCTGGTCGCACTGATCTTCATGGAGAGGAGCCTGCATGAGCCCATGTATCTGCTCCTCTGTAACATGAGTATTAACGATGTGTTTGGGGCCACAACCATTATTCCTCCCATCCTGATTCATGTCTTTACTCCAGTGTCGAGGCGGTACATCAGTTATAATGAATGCGTCATTCAGGCCTTCTGTGCTCACTTTCATGCAGGTGTCTCTCACACAGTAATCACTATCATGACCTTAGATCGTTACGTAGCAATCTGCAGCCCCCTGCGGTACGCCACCATCATGACCAACAGCATGGTGGTGAAGCTGTCTGTGTCAGCCTGGAGCGTAGCTTTTCTTTTAATTGTAACTGTCATAAGCCTTAGCGTCCCCTTGTCTCGCTGCAGGAATTCGATATACAACCCGTTCTGTGATAACGCCTCCTTGTTCAAGCTGTCCTGTGAAAATGTTCTCATCAACCACATCTACGGCCTGGGCACCGCCAGTGTCACAATGGGGTGCTCCCTGGGCAGTGTAATAGTCACTTATCTGAGGATTGCCATGGTGTGTTTGAGCAGTAAGAACAAGACACTGAACAGCAAAGCTCTGCAGACCTGCACCACACACCTGACAGTGTACATCATCCTTTTGTTATCTGGAAACATCGTCATCATCCTCCATCGTTTTCCTCACTTATCAGAAGAGAGAAAGCTGGCATCCATCTTGTTCCATGTGGTTCCTCCTTCAATGAACACTGTTATCTATGGACTACAAATCAAAGCAGTTAGGCAAAAAATTCTGACTTTATTTAACAGGAAGAATTGAACAGAGGCCAAATTGCAAAACACCCCCTGAATGTGCAGGCATGTTAATTAAAAAACGTCCTCTTTCTGTGTATTGAAAACCCTTCATTTTGTGCATAAAGTTGTAGAATGATGAATGTTCAACACACATTTTATATGATTGGATAGCACAGAATGATCTGTAATCATGCTGTGCAAAACAAGTGCATGATGGGATCAAATGGCTGAGACCTTTTTAGATTGTTCTGACAACAAAAACATGACACTGAATGCCTGAATGCATGCTCTATTATTATTGCATGCTTTATTATATGTTAAATGTTCGGTGCATTAGATTTTTTTTCTGAACAGGATGTTAATTGTCCAGTGATCTTTAAACAGTTTTTTTTTTCTGATATGTCTCGATAAACTTTAGATAATGGATGTTTGAGGATAATTGAGCAGCATTGATTCATGCCACAAGTATTATATATCACTTGGTTTACAGGTGAGGTTACTAGAGAAACCTTTTTTCTTCCCGGAAACATTGCAGAGGTGAGAATGATCCTGTCGTTAAGTTCTTTATACTGTACATGCCTTTGTGTCATCTAGGTTAGATTATTGTAATTTCCTCTTGTCTGGCTCGCCTTTTCAATGTCTGCAGATGGTTCAGAATGCAGCAGCTGCAGTTCATATTACTCCAATGCTAGCCCTCTCTCCATGGGCTCCCTCGTCTGGTGAGAGCAGACTTTAAGGTGATTCTGCTAACTTAAATTAGTTAACAGCAGGGCTGTCAACATTGTGCCTGTCTGACACTCTGGCCGTTGTAGTGCGGTGTCTGGTCTGACAATGGCCATAAATGCCCACAGTAAGAGGGATCAAAGATGGGGTACAAACAGTGGTGAGGTCTCCCGATCCAAGCGGTCCCACAGCGTAGCAACCAGGGAATGTAGAGGGAGGAGACGAGCACGCTATGGAGAGGAGCGCACTAGAGGAGACGAGTTGGGGGAGAGGCGTACAATGGAAGACATAAATGTCAATGTTAATTTTCTTTTTGCTTGATTTGACACACATGACTGTGTGGCCACAAGCAGCTCCAACATCATCGTGAAATTTGCAGATGGCACGGTGGTTGTTGGTCGCATCAGCAACAATGATGAGCAGGCGTATACAGGGGGGGTTGTAAACCTGTCACAGTGGTGCCAGGACAACAACCTGCTCCTGAACGGACTCCTGACACTTTACACTGTTTACATTACTCTATATTTTATATTTTGTACATTCAAATAATTCTTTTTTTATTTTTTACATTATATTCTATTTTACTGTATATATGTGTATTAGTAATTTGAGTGTTTATTGCCTGGCCTTGCGGAACAGTCCTTACATTTCACTGCACATCTGTATGAGCATGTGACAAATAAAAATCTTGAATCTTGAATCTTGAATCTTGAATCTTGAATTAGCTGGGAATGTTAAACGCACAGTATGTAAAATCAGCACATACAGCAACAGTACGGTAGCTTTCAGTAGCAGCTCCCGCTAGCTTATGCAGCGGTCTTTGACGTAACAGCCGCTGTTTCCTTGGCAACGATCAACATTTCGTGTCTGGCGGTTCATCACGGTGGCTGCCGACACGTCCCATTACAACTATAAAATTACAGATTTTTCTAGCTTTGATAACTGTTGGAAGCATTTGACATAATGCAAGTACTCAACAATAAAATATATATAACATGGGTCAATTCTAATTTTAATTCATCCACATATTTGAATGTAAACATTAGCAACCAAATTCTACATATTATACCTTTAAGTTTCCTTTTGTTACAAAAAAGCCACAATAAATTTAGGTTTTAACCAATGGTGTCTTTCTTCGTTAAAGAATATTGAATGGGAATAAAAAATAGATGTATGCCAATAATCTAGGTAATGTAACAGAACTCCTGGTTGTGTATTATGCTTCAAAACTTCTCACCATGTAAATATTCTGTGATAGAAATAATGGAGAGACTATTTATTTTCATCTAACTGCCAATTTCTACAGTCGGTGCTTGTTTTGCTCTATCCGACTGCTGAGCCCTGCCTGACTGGGTCTGTTTCTGGAGCGTGAGCGCAGTACAGCCATGAGCCCGCTGAGCGGAGCAGATCATTCCAGACAGGAAAAAAAACAGGAATGCACAATTTCAAAATAAAACAAAAAATACAGACTCCACTCATAAATAACATAGTTAGAAGCTTTTTTTGTGGATTTGGGTTTCCAGGGGCTTTAACTCCAAGGTAGCCACATCCTAACTTACTTCGTATTATTATTGAAGTATAATACTGAAGTATAATACGGAAGTATTTCAGTATTTTGGATTCAGTATTTCAGTATTTTGGATTCAAGAATGTGGGGAGGATTTGATTGGATAGTTATCTTGAAAAAAGCTTTGTAATTGGTCGAACACCCATGAGTTCAGGATGAGTAATACATCAGAAAATATGGTCATTTTGATGTAGAAATACTCAGATAATGTATAATTTAAATATATTTGACAGATAATGGCAGATAAACTGACATTCAGCATAGGAACGCTGGATTAAATTACTTTAATGTTTTTTTATTTATTTCAGGAATCAGTCAAATCAGTTTGAAGCTAACAAAAAATAAATGAATTAATAACAGGAGAAAGAAAAAACTACAGTGAGCAGAGACAAACAAATATTGACACCACACCTGATGACATTCTGGCCAAGTTGTCAGCAACAGTTTCCTGGACACCATCACCTGGAGCAATAGTTGCTATCAGACAATTTATTAAAGGTGTCAGTCAGTCAGCGTCTGAGCTGACTAGAGGAGGTTCAAATCATCGGAGGTTCAAATCATCGGAGGTAAAACAGACACAAACACACAACCATGATGTCTTCTTTTGTACAGTGAGTGTTGAATGTTTCTGAAATGTTTGTAAGACAGACAACAACAAAAATGCTTCCAGTGACTGACAGACTTAACTATAATCTGACAGCTAATTAGAAAAATTAGACTGTTTGCTGCAGAGATAAAACAGCAGTGTGTAAAATACAGTTGCATTTCTCATAAATTTGGCAAACATTTACTCATGTAAACAAGAATTATTAATGAAAATAGAAAACAACTAAATTGTATTAAGTGATGGATTGTGTAGTGTACTGAGTGTCTGCATCATGACTTATTAATCAAATGTGAAAAACATGAAGTGTGACTGGTTTGTTCTTAATGCAGAATATTCTTCTTTAGCAGTGGTGCCTTTTCATTGAAGCATCATATTACATCTGCCTGACATAAAATCTTGTAAAATACTCCCTGATTGTGTAGAATTCACCTTGTTGTGGATCTGAAGGTGAGCTGCAAACAACTTTATGTCAACAGTCAGGGAATCAAAGCTACTGTATTGCAGTGCTGTGTTTTTCCTCAGTTTTGTGACTGTTAAACTCTGAGGAGATGAGAGATGAAAGCAAAAGGAATAGATTGAGGGAGGGAAACAAGAATCTCCCATGTTCTACAGAATATAATGTGTTGTTTTTTTAATAAATGGAGTCTGATCCCTTTGTAAAGTCCAGTTAACAGCAGTTTGTGGTATATTACTCTTAAACATAAAGGTCTTTCTCTGTAGAGATTATTTCTGTGATGTTTTCAGACACTCACAAATCTAACAGAACTGTCTGTGCCTATTTTATTGAAAGAGAAAGTTCTGCACACTGTTCAGCTCCCAATGAGCAACTCTGTCCTGTCTTTGTCCTGCACATGTTTGCAGTTTGCTTGGATGTGCGCACACCGGTCCCTTTTCCTGTTTTTGATTTAGAGAACTAAACACAGAGTTGAATTCTCTGTTTATGTTCCCCTTCAGGGTCCCTCCCTCGGAAAAATGGAAAACAAAACTTTCAATGCAGATATCATCTTCATCGAGGGGTTAAAGGTCAGCCCAAAGTCCTCTGCTTCTGCATTTATTCTCCTCCTCCTCATCTACATCTTCATCATGGTGTCGAACATTGGCCTTGTTGTCCTGATCTCCATGGAGAGGAGCCTCCAGGAGCCCATGTATCTGCTCTTCTGCAACATGAGTATTAATGATGTGTTTGGGGCAACAACCATTATTCCTCGCCTGCTCAGTAATATTTTCTCTCCGATCACAGACCGCTACATCTACTACATGGACTGTGTGGTTCAGGCTTTTTCTTCTCACTTTCATGCCGGCACGTCTCACGCGGTGCTCGTGATCATGGCTTTTGATCGTTATGTGGCCATCTGCAACCCCCTGCGATACGCCACCATCATGACCAACAGGATGGTGTTGAAGCTGTCAGCGGGGGCCTGGCTGGTGGCGTTCATTTTGGTCGCCATCCTCATAGGTCTTACAATCCGTCTGACTCGTTGCAGAAGGATCATAATAAACCCGTTTTGTGATAACGCCTCTTTGTTCAAACTCTCCTGTCAGAATCTCCTAATCAATCACATCTACGGCCTGGGCAGCGCCGTGGTCATCCTGGGCTCCTCCATCGGCAGCATCGCGCTGACTTACCTGAGGATCGCCATGGTGTGTTTGAGCAGTAAGAACAAGGTGCTGAACAGCAGGGCGCTGCGAACCTGCACCACACACCTGGCTGTTTACATCATCATGTTGGTGGCCTCTTTCACCCCCATGATCATGCACCGCCGCCCTGAGTGGGCAGACAGCGGGAAAGTGTCATCGGTCTTGTTCCACGTAATCCCCCCCGCCCTCAACCCGCTCATCTATGGGCTGCAGTGCAAAGAGCTCAGACACAAGATCATCGGCTTGTTTCGTAAGAATAAAGTCACGGACGTTAAATCTAACATGCACGTACAAAGTTATCATGAATAAATCTTTAAAAAAAAGGTTTTATTTAGTCAATGCCATTAATTTCTGTGCAGGTTTCAATAATATGATACATGTTTTGTCACCAAAGCTTTAAGTTGACTTTGAGTTCATTATTTTTGGTCGGTAGAAGTGCCAGATCACTGAATCTGCAGTTTTAAAGCTCATGAAATAAATGTTGAAAAAACATTTACATATAATGACATTATACGAATGAAACTACCTTCATAGCCTGATTCTCTAAGGATCAATAGTGGTAATAGCGCTAATGGCTCTAAAGATGCATCTCATTTGCTACTACTATCTGCTCAGTCTCAAGGTCTAATTCACAGAGAATATAATGCAAAATGTTATTCAAGGCAAGGCAAGTTTATTTATATAGCACATTTCAACAACAAGGCAATACAAAGTGAATACACTGAAATTATTAAATCTGAACACATGTTCAAATAAAAAGAATTCAAATGAAATTAATTGAAATAAAGTAAAAATATAAAAAGATTTAACAGTTACAGTGCAGAGTTAAACTTTAAAATCTTATTAAAATTGTTTAATGAAAGGCAGCTGTAAACAGGTGTGTCTCGATTTAAAAGAGCCAAGAGTTTCAGCAGACCTGCAGTTTTATAAAAAGAGACCATTTTCCCATTTTAGGGGAGCATTTTACCATTTGAGTGTGTTTTGTAAATTAGACCTTGTTTTAAAAAAAAATCATTTGCACCGGTTTAGCAATCGCAAAAAGTCATCGTCATTTTTTTCATACATTGCAATTTGTGGTTGTAGAACAATATTTGTTTTTATATTTAATACAATGACTTGTTGTAAGTATTAACTATCCTTCTGGACTAATAAAGGCTCTTACATTATGTACCTGACTTCTTTTTCATAATATACTGTAAGCTTTTACTTAATACAAATACATTAAAATTGGATACTGAACTGAAATGATCTGGTTACATGTGGACACATTATTATTATCATCAGCTATTTTCTGAGCAATCCCTTGTGGATTCTTGCTATATGGATATGTTATTGATCTATCTTTTTTGTCTTGGTTAATTTGTGATGCTTCAGGCAGCTCCTTCACATATTTGAACCTTGAATTCAACTTTAATAAAGTTGGGTTGGGTATACACAGCTTAAAAAACATCTGATATATGCAATTAAGTATTCAAAGCCGCTACTTGAAATATCATTCTTTGTTTGTTTTTTTTTAATCAAGAATGGACATAAGAAAAGTTAGGAGTTCAGTTTAGTTCCCCGCGTAGTTCGTAGTCGTCCAGTTAACCAAGCTGCAGGTTTTACTTCCCGGTCAGGACTGTGAGTTGACATCTTTCCTCGGTAACACAGCTGTAGATCTGAGTCTGCTCAGAATCCTCCAGATGGACTCTCTGAGCTCCCTGTTCCTCAGACTGTAGATGATTGGGTTCAGAAAAGGAGTCAGAGCGGCGTACAGCACAGACACAATGATACGAACCTAAAACACCACAACAAAAACCACAATGCTTCAGTAGAAGTAAAAATTATTCATGGCTATCATTGCATTCCACCTGACAGACCACAGAGTTTGTGCTGAATTGTCCTTGTGAGAAGTCGTAAAAACAAAGGCACAAGTATAAATCAAAGCTAGATGATGAGTCACTTACCTCGGGCGAAAAGTTTCCCACTCGGTACGAGATGTAAACAAACGATGCCGAGCCATAGGAGATGGAAACCACGGTCAGGTGTGCGGCACACGTTGCGAAGGCCTTCAGCCTCTGATTGACACCCATCTTTGATATGTTGACACCAATCAGGATGTAGGAGGTGAGGATGAGGACTCCGGTGGACAGTAGGGCCACTAAGCCGAAGGAAATGGACACGATGTTGTCCACAGAGGTGTCGCCACACGCCAGCAGTCTTACAGAGGACGGGTCACACCAGCTGTGTCTCACCACGTTCAGGCCGCAGTAAGAGCGATGCCAGGCCATGGAGCACGGCAGAATGGTGCAGAATGCGCCGAAACCCCAGGCCCCTGCCACGAGGAGCAGCCTGACGTGTCGGGTCATGACAGCAGTGTAGCGCAGGGGGTTGCAGATCGCCACGTAGCGGTCGTACGCCATGACAGTCAGGATGGCGCGTCCTGTAACGGCTAAGTGAATAAAGAAATACATCTGAAGGAAGCAGCCGGGGATCGAAATGGTTTTCATGTGTGTCAGGAAGCCGGACAGCATGTTGGGGATGGTGGTGGTCGTGTAGACGATATCCACAAAGGAAAGGTTGGAGAGGAAGAAATACATGGGAGAGGTGAGCTTCGGATCAGTCAATGTCTAAAAGAGATAAAATAGCCAGTTGTGGTTACAATACTTAATATTTGATCTTTGACATGATACAATGAACTGCTTTATTTTGTACCACAAAGATGATCATGCAGTTTCCAGCAAGGATAATGATGTAACCCAGCAGCAGAATGACAAAAAGGATAATCTTCTTCTCCCCGAGGTTGGCGAGGCCCTGGATAATAAAGAAAGTGACGCCATCAGTTTCCCAGGTGTTGTTTACAGAGCTGGATCTGTGATTGGTCGCTGACAAGGGCAGGTGTGAACCTGAGATAGCAAGACACGAGGAGGGATGAGTATTAAGTCACACACATGACATCAGAGAGTTTTAGAGGTTCATGTCTAACACAGTGGTTCTCAAACTATGGTACGTGGACTCCCTGTGGTGGTACGCAAAGAAATCTCCACAATATAAAAAAACCTGTTCAGCATAAAACGCCAATTTTTTTATTTTTTTTTGTCATACTCTTATCTTATCTGTCTTGTATCTATTGGGTTGTATTAATATTAGGGCTGTCAATCGATTAAAATATTTAATCGCGATTAATCACACGATTGTCCACAGTTAACACGTGATTAATCACAAATTAATCGCACATTTTTTTTATCCGTTCTAAACATACCTTAAAGGGATATTTTTCAAGTTTTTAATACTATTATCAACATAGGAGTGGACAAATGTGTTTATTTTCATTGCCAACAATCCAAAACAATGACAAATACTGTCCACATTAACCTTAAAGGTACTGCATGCTCAAAGAATATGCTGGCATTTTGACCTGAATGTGACATTACTTAGTAATACTAACACAATGTAGGTCCAACTTAACACAAGGTTAACTAAACATCCTGTTTTTTAAGCAGCTCAACACAAACCGATTGACCTCATGCATCACAAACAGACACACATTGTACAGCAAGTACTTTGGTCAGTCAAATTTTCCATTACTCAAATATCATTCCCTGGACCCTTCGCACTTAAAGAAAATTATCTCACACAATGTAATTTTGTCTAACCTCACATGGGGGGGAAATAAAGGCTCAGAAAACATCTCCTTCTACTAAGTGAGATCAAAAATAAATGAAAACAAACAAATAAAGTGCGCATGTTACAGTAGGGAGTGTAATACAAAAATGATATAGTGCATTTAGGCTATAGCTTATACTTAAATTTCTTTGGATTAAACAGTTAGGCTATACTTCTACCTCTTTGCTCTTCTATTGTATTCAGCCGAGGTTGAGCAGGTTTTTTTTCCTGACAAAAGGAACATAGAGTGTTGACAACATGGGTTGTCCCCATTACTTCTATTTCTTTGCACTGAGCCAGTTGCTCAAACAGACAAGCCTGTTTACATTTTGGGATGACAGGGCAGCTCGCTTCTTCTGAACAACATGTCCAGACAGTGAAAATAACCTTTCACACGGTACGGATGTGGCAGGTGTTGCCAAGTACATGCGTGCAAGGCAGGCCATCTCGCTGTGTGCCCCTTCATGTTTGGACCACCACTGCTGGGGACAGTCCTCCATGCCAATAGTGGGCTCGGCTTTGAAGCTGAACTTGCCATTTAAAACACCCTCTTTATTCATTTCTTCTTGTCATCCACTATGTTACTGCTGCATCAAGTCCTGATTTCCCGTTAATTGCGCGTCAAATAAATTAGTGGCGTTAAGGGGAATTTGCATTAACTCGTTATTATCGCGTTAAATTCGACAGCCCTAATTAATATCAAATGTGTTTTCCCTCTAAATTAATCTAGTTTATGCGACAAACAACTTTAATCTGCTCAATTTATGCTTGCGCGCGCACAGACATAAACAACAACAGGAGTACCACTCAATATTCCGTTATAGTTCAGTACTGAAACAACAGCAAGCAGCTGTAGGTCTACATTAACAGAATATTCTGTTATTTAGTGGACGGATGTACGGACAGCGGACCTTATCGAGTTGTGTGGAGTTTAAGTGCCAGTTCTAATGCTAGCCCTTAGTAGGCCTACAGCGTGGCTGCCAGCAGTCAATATAAATAACATTATTTTTATGAATTAATTGGTCTCTTGTGTGAAATGTGTGTTAAAATGGGCCTACAGTGTATTTCAACATCTACCATAATGGTGGTACTTGCAGAGCCAAATATTTTTGGAGGTGGTACGCAGTCTAAAAAGTTTGAGAACCACTGGTCTAACAGATGCATATTCAATTTCACCCTGGATCATGTAATTATTCAAACAGATTTTAAAATACTGTTTTTGATCAGTGCAACAGTGCAGACCTTAATCACACATTTATCATGATGCGATCAAGGTCCAAAGATTACACCTTCATTTTTTAAATAGTGTTTATCACTTGCTATTTTGTCCCTTTTGGCACACCATAATTAGGCTGCTGCAGTGGGAATTAACGACATCAATACACATTTGAATGGCTCGTTTAACTTTAAAAAAAAAACTCCCAGATGGCTCAGTTAACAGGTCGAGAGTAATATGCAACTTGTGTCAGCCGGAATAAAAATATATTGAGCTTCCACCTCTGAGCTAAACAAACAGGCACAGCTAATCAGACTGATGTCAACAGGCAACCACAACACCAAAGCATGCAGAGCCAGTTTTAAAGTGTATAATCAGTATAGTATAATAAGTGTAAAATTGTTTCTTAACATCTGTTAATAAACAGAAATAATTCAATTCCCATGAAAAAAAATATAAAAGTGATGTACCGGTATAATAGTTTATCTAAAATTGTAAAATCATTAATTTTGCACATTAGCTAACAAAAAAATGTCTCCTGCATGGTTCTCAGCTCCCAAAAGCTCAGGCAAGAACAATATAAAAAAAATAATAATAATAGTTTGCGAATCCTTTCTTATGGTTTACAAAGTTGTGCCCGACTTCTAATCTTTGTGCAGTTTTTGAATTGCAAATCCAACATGTGGGTGCAAATTATAAACAGTGCCCATTGATTTGCAAACTGCGCACAAATTTGTGAACTGTGGGAATGGATCTACAAAAGTCTAAAGTCTTTTAACAGCTTTAAATCAGTGCAAAGTTGAACAAATCCTCCGAGTTTAAATGTAAGGAAACTACATTAAAACCTAATCATACTCGTTAGATCACGTGAAGTTCTCTAACTCTCAAAACTGCTGATAGGTATGAACTCGTCATCAGCTGACCTATTAGTGCAAAAGTACAAGTGTGACAAAAGAAACTAAAATGTTATAAATTCTGTCACATTTTGTATTAGCACCCTCAGCTGTACTAATCATCTGGCCCGGTCGCACTCCCCAGATTCACCTGGTTTAGGAGTTTACTAGTAAAATAATACATTCAAAATAATTGTCCTGTAAATTCAACAAGCAAAACATATTAATGCATTTCAAGCCTTTAGTATTTAAACATATGCCCAGTTGTGCAAATTACATTGGTGTAAAAACATTTCAGGATTGAAATAAATGAAGGTTTTATTTAATAATAAAACAAACAAAAAAAGTATGTAACTGAACGGCAGGAAAACTGGTTATACTGTTTTGATAAGAAACATAAAAAAAAATATTTAAAGTTAACTGTTGTAAAAGAAGCATTTTTTTGTCATTGCATTTGAAGTAAACTGGAAGTTAGTTTAGCAGCAATGCTATAGAACTGGAGCAGTCGCACCATGAATAAATGCACACAGAGGGATTCACAAACTTATTTTAAGATATAAATGACTGTTCAAAAATATATTTTTCAATTCTCAAAAAAAACTTTCTTTCTGTATATTTGTTTTAAAAAAAATCCTCACATAGATCATTAAGATTTGAAAATTAATTTCTGACGCACATCGAATAATTATTGTAATGGATATTAAAAAATATATACATTTAAATGTGCTCGCAATTTCCATCAAAAACACATTTGTATGTTGTGAGATTTATATACAAAGAGTTTAACATGCATTTACAAAGAGTATCTGGTTTGTGAACTCTTCTTCATTTGTGTTTATATTTTAGAGACTACTCCACCAACAAAATAGATCTTTTTCTCAATGGGGAATCATCTCTGGCTAATCAGATGTCTCCCTGCCTTTTGACAGAAATAATTTGTGAAGAGTTTCATATATATATCAATCCCAAAATATATCTCTGAATCATTCTGTGTGCATTCATTCATTCAAATATAAGTAATTAACAACGTATTAAAAAGTCACATGTAGCCCAGTAGAATAAAGTGTCACTGTTTTGAAAGATATGCACTTCAGGTCGTGACTTTCTCACAGCTAAGATTCAATTGTACATCCTCAAATTTCAAATTCAAAAGTTCACCAATACTGATGTGAAAGTAGTGGAACACTCACAGACCTTTGAGGCTTTCAGAAGAAATATAAAACGGCAAAAGTTCCATCTCTATCAGCAGATACAGGAACCGGAAGGTATGCTGATGTCAAATATGAATCTATAAACACACAAAGGTAAAATGTTTACACTGAAATAGAGATTTGTAGGTGAATTACTCTAAACACTAAGACAGACAGTGAACATTGTATAAGTATAATCATATTAATGATTTAAAACCTTTAAATACCGGTACTTCTTTTTCAAATTAAGCCTTTAGAAATTGAAAATATGAGTATGGCTTTTTAAGTATTTGCAAAAATCTGATCGTCTTACCTGAATTTGCAGATCAGACTGCGCCTCGCCCAGTTTATTCTGACATTTCAGGCTCCACTGATCTATTTGATGAAATTATAGTGAGACTAATTAACATTAATTACACAAAGTTACATCATATTCTCCACATTAAAATATTTTAATTGTACAGATGGTACAAATAATTCAAAAGGGACCTTTTTTTGGTGACCTTTGTTGCTTTTAACAAGCATAAAAACAAAAAACATGTAGAACATAATTATCTTTATCCACCAAGGGAACAAGCTTTCTGCTTTAGTGTTTGACATCATTAGAGATTCATTATAGAAGATTATATAGTTAGTCTCATTAGAGAGATTCATTACTTTAATTGCTCATGCCTGTTTGTCTGTGTGAACAAGTGGTTTTGTCTACGCGATGTAATTAGATGATAGCATATATTGTTGATTTTCTCTGCAGTCAGTCCAAGTCATTTCCAGTAATTCAGAGTTAATTTTGTAATGTTTATCCTTGTGTTTCTCTATGTTCTAGTGTGTATTGTCAACTCTTGAGTTCTCTGTGTGTCTTTTTTTTCCTGTGTTTCCTGATTTATTTTGCAGTTCATGTCCTCAGTGTTTCTTGTCTTACTTCCTGCCTCTGTGTGTTTCCCTCCAACCTTGATTGCCCTCATTGTCTTCACCTGTGTCATTAGTCTCACCTGTGTTTGATTGCCTCTTGTATTTAGTCTCTGGCCCTTTCTGAAAAACCACAGTTCAGTATGGAGTGTGTATGAGTCCTTGCACTCAGTCTACACTGGATGCATCCTTTCTGGACATGAGTTATATTTTAACACCCACAATGCCGTGCAAAATTAAATGTAAAACGTCACTTCACGTTACATGCAATGTGAAGTTTTTTATTATTTACTGAGCCATCGTGCATATTACATCTGAGTTGGAGTGTCAATAACATGAGGTGGGCTTATGATGCCACTTCCACACTGAATGAAGTAGAAACAAATATCTGCCTACTGTGTGCCCCTACTGACCAGTAGGTCCTAACAGAATACAGCAAGGATACAAGGGCTTGTCTACAGTAACTGGGTGCATCTGAATTGCCAAGTGCCTACACAATCTTTCAGTAGACAGTAGACGGTCCCTACTATCCATGTCGTATACTCTTAGTACCTACTGTTCAGTGGGCGTGCACAGTAGGCAGATATTTGTTCCTACTTCTGATTCATTCAGTATGGAAGTGGCATCATTTGCATTACCCGGAACCGGCTGCATCCACCGTTTTTTTTTTTGTTTAACTTTATTCAAGAAGAGTAATGCACATATACAGTCAGGTAAACAAAAAACAATATCACAATGTAAGTCAAGTAAAGAACAGATTCAATAATAAAATAACATACAGTACATACAGGAAAGTATAAATGAAAGGCAGTAATATACAGTATATAAAGTAAAATAAACCAATAAAGACGCAAACATAAATAGGGAATTAATCATTTAAATAGAGGTCTCAGGTGAAAAGGTTGTATAAGGTTTTTGTTAGTAATTAAAAGTAGCGATTTCAGTAGGGACTCTAACTCTAGATTAAAAATTTATTTAATTAATCAACGCTCGTTTGTATTGATTTGGAGGCGCACGTAAAGTGACGTTTCACGTTTAACTTCGCACAACATTGTGGGTGGTAAAATACAATTCATTTCCTGAAAGGATGCCTCAGTATACTGAACGTTTCAGTATGAATACTAACTTCCGGGTTTTGTGCGGTATGGATCGGATGCATTCTTTCAGGAAATTAATTGTATTTTAACTCCCACAATGCTGTGTGAGAAACGTAAATTTCAAACGTCACTTCACGTGCGCTTCCAAATCAAAACAAATGAGCATGGGTTCGGCTGGTTGAACTTGTTTACATGCAATGTGACTGTAGCGTAATTAACTTTAATTATATTCAAATTATTCCTCAGGGCACCACTTCC